TAATGTAAGTGAACAATTTTTTTGAAGTTAATAGCGTAATTTATATGGTAAAACCATTTCTGTGGTTAATGGTTTATTTTATGTTTAGGGTGAAAAAGGAACATGAAGCTGAAGCTATTATGGTGAAGAAAGAACATGAAGTTGCAGTTGAAGATATTAAGTCATTTTGCCCAACAACCTCTTGACTTTTTTACTAGTGGGAGATTTTTTTTAATCTAAAGGCTAAATTATTAGTGTTGATCTTATTTTTTATTCAAATGATCTAATCGATGCATGTTTTCATTATAGCAAGGATTGTCTGAAGACAATCAAAGGGAAGGAAATAAAAAAATTAGACCATGGGGTATAAATGATATTATGTTGATGGATGATTATTCCTCTCTTGCTTCCCTGCATCTGGCTTCTGTTGGAGGGGATGTCCTTGTTGTTTGTTCCCCGATGCAGCCTCTTATGCTGACTGTTGATTGGCTTGCTGGGCTGTATTGGGGTGATTTAATTCCTATTTGGAGCCTCTTCAGCTTACTGTTGCAGTCGGGGTTTTAACCCCAACTGATTCATTTCTTCTGAATTGCATATGGAGGATACTTTCAATCAGGGCATCCTACAAACTTGTGTTTTGGGGGTTTGATTTTTTGGGTTTGTACATTTGGGTGTTCCCCTTGTATACTTGGTTCTCTGTTAATACAATTTACTTTCCGAAAAAAAAAAATCTTTTTTTAAGGATTTTCGATGTTAATTTTATAAATTGAATGAATTTGAATATAAACTAGATGAGATTGAATGTTACGAATGAAATGTTTATTAGTTGAATTTTAATGTTAATTTAATGAATTATATGTTTATTAGGTAAAATTAAATGTTGATTTGAAAAATTGAATGTTAATTTTGTGTAAATTTGATGAATTGAGTTTTAATTGGATGAAATTGCATGTTTGATATTGATGTGATAAATTGAATATTTATTGAATAATTTTAGATGTTAATTTGATGAATTATAATATTAAAAGGTTAAAAGTGTAATATAAAAAGGTTAAAAATATAATATTAAAAGATAAAAGTGTAATATGTAATAGAGAATCGATCTTCCATTCCTAGAACCGGTCTTAATTAAATTACACTTACACTCATGAAGTATAACAATATTTTTATTTTGTTCTTTCAACTAATATTTTTATTCCACAACTATTATTTTTTTTGAAGATAAAATATAGGGGTTGATATCGGTTTCGTGTCGTGTCACTTTCGATAGTGTTAGTAAAAAATTATTTAATTTGACAACGATTAATATAATACTATTTAAAAAATTATAAAAAATTATAAAATTCTTATTTTTTATCTAAAATACTTATTAAATAATTATTTTTTATTTACAGTACCCATTTATTACTTGTGTCAATGAATCGTGTAATTTTTGGATTCGTGTCGGGTTCAATTCGAGTCAAAAAATTGACACCCCTAATAAAATACATAAGCAAAATAAAAGTAAAATAATTTTTCTTTAAATATATAACTGATATTAATAATTGGATTATCGGGTACAACTCTATTCGGTACAAATTTAATAGATGGATTACAATTGGACTAGATATGGTATAACTTTTGGTTAACTACATGTCTTATAACTACTACCGAAAATACTTGGTTGTATCGATTTTAATGAATTTAAAAAAAACACGTGTCATTCATACAAGTCAAGTTACTTTTCAATATGTTATCGAAAAGTAGTTCGGTATAGTAAGGTTACCCATAATTGCTATACCAATTTAACGCTGCACGATTTACTGCCGGCATCATCATTATAGCATAACATATTAGAATTGGTTGTCATATCACCAAAGGTTCATGGATTGTCCATTCACAGAGGTCTAGATTTCTAGAACATTAGATTGATTTCACCAAAAAAGACTAGCATGATCTGTCACACGGTACTGCACAGGGCCTAGGGGGGCCAAGGCCTCCTCATCTTAAAGAAAATTACCTTTTAACCCCTTAATTTTTAAAAAATTATATGCTTTCCATAAGATTTTTTAAAAAAAAAACATTTGCCTGACATTTCTCCTATTATATTCAAAAAAAAATTAATGGGTTGACATGTAATGAAAAAATGAAAGATGTGATCACATAGATAAGCATTACTCTTATAAATGAAAATACTTGCTTTGATGAGTTTAATGACCAACAAAAAAAAAATAGTAAATCAGTGTAAAAATTAGTTAAAAATGTGACTTATATCTAGTAATGGTGTGGTGCTAATATGGCAGTACCAAAAAAGTAAAATGTATAAGCCAAAATTAAATCGAACTTCAATATTTTATTTTGTTAAAATTTAAAACGAGGTGCAAAATTTTGTTCCAAAAATCAAGCACCAAATTTTATGATAGTGAGTATACATTAATATTTTTTTATTTTATGAGTCAAACTAATTTTTTTTCAAAAGTACTATACAAACATTGATTTTGATATATATTCTACATATTGTAAGTTTGTCTGTAACGATAATTTGTTAAATAGAATGTTTGCGTAAAATTATTAACTATGACAATATTTGGCTCTCGTTAAGATAAAATCTTGGTTCTATCACTGTTGTCACACAACCTCAAAGTTGGGTCTGACTCGGTGCCTGTGCAATCAATTGATGTAGAAAAATATTTAGCTCAAAGAGAAAAAGAGAACTCTTCTTTGGCTTTGGGTAGGATGGAGCTGTTTAACTGAATAATTTTTGAGTTAAAAGCTGTAATAAAAGAGAAGGTAAAAGCAAAATTGACTTATATAAAGTGTTATGTTGGTCCAAATCCACTATCATATGGCTTTTCAATTGCCATAACTAACTAAGATTAAAAAGAGCTAACTTATGGGTAATTAACTAGGTTAAGGTATATCTTTTAATATGACCAATTGCCTCATTGCCAAACCTAACTTTTTAAAATGGCTAGGTCTATAGAGTACACCTAAATGCCCTTTAGAGAAGAGTAGTCAATCGATGACATAGTAATATACTAGCAATAATCTTGTATATGGAGATATTATATAATACTCGAAATCAAACATTGATTTTATAATATTTATATTTTAAATAGTAACTTAGTTTTTTTTTAATTACACCATTTAAAATTGAAATGAAGAGAGAAAAAAGAGGTATCCGTGTAGATTGATGAAATTATTTAGTACTGAAAAACTTGTTAATATGTTAATTGAGTTGTCTGACATTAGGAACTGTACACAGAATATAATATTTTTGAGTGAAATTTTTTTTTTTCAAAGGAATTTTATACCATTAGATTAAAATAAATAAAAATTAAATTAATATTGACCGTTATTGTACTTTTAGAAGTTAATATTATATATATTTTGTTCACAAAAGCATAAAGTTGTTTAACTATGCACGCTGCACAAAAGATAAAATTCAGCATGAATAACACATGCAAACTTAAATTTTTATCCTCTACATATTTTTTTTCTTAAAAATATCACATCAATCATTTCTATCACATGTTCAATTATTTAATGTTTGATTAATTTATAATTTAACATAATTTTTATTTTAAACATTATCTATATACGATAGTATATATATGTTGAACAATTTTAATATAGTGAAATTAATTTTTTGGGCGCTCGAATTTTATATTCCATCGTGTCTTCAGACACGAGTTATGACTAGTTAACATATATAGGTTTTTTTTCAACAACTTTAATTTTATTGCAAAATAATGCTTATGTGAAAAATTTTATTTTTTGGGGTTTAATTTATGGTTAATTATAGATTTTGGGTATTTTTGTTTAATTATTTTAATATTAATTATTAAATTTTAAGCAATTCGTTATTGAACTTTTTTTCTTGAAAAAATTAAGATGGATTTTGACATATTACCCACAAAAGCTAGTGTCAAATAGATCTTTTTGTATGAATCTAAACTCGACAAATTGCGCACATTGATCGAATTGAACAATATTATTTAGACCTAATTTATTAATTTAATCTCTCACAACTATTGGATTATTGATTTGAGTTTGACAAGCTGGAGGCTGGACTAATTCCAATAACATTGATACAAAACACAAAGCAATAGAACGTGAGATATGACTGCTAAAAATTATTGAGATCTCATCATCTCCGCTGAGAGCGGAGGCATGTTTACAGTCAACACGATGACCAACAAAGAGGGAATGCATGCGAAGAAAATGAAAGATCAAAAGACCAGAACTCGGGATTACGCCACCTTCCCCGGAAGACGAATAAGCAGCCATATGTAATGATGCTTCATCTTCTTCTTCACACTAGAGGAGCACTACCAACTAAAATATCACGTGTTATAAATTCAAATGAGACCTGAATTTTTCTTTAGTTAATCATGGATGACTAGCCATGAAAAAAAAAAATGATGAAGAAAGTACAAGATGATAGTCCCTAATGAGTGGAACAATATTGACAATGATTTGTCGTCAAACTAAGAATTATATGCAATCCTTGGAGAGAAATCTAAGTGATGCAATTACGCAGCGAAATCAACAGAATGTAGTTAAGGTAAGAATTTGATAATCATGCAAAGCACCCATTCAAGGGAATGGACACAACCTTTTGGTGAGGTTGTGACCATTAATACAAAATCACAACTCTCCAAGAGTTGTATTGGTTTAAATTTAAACCATCATTCTTTCTCTCTTCATTCATGGGAAAATAACGCCAAACATTGCATCCATTCATGACTTATATGTACAAGTGTGATCATTCAGTCCATGGGTCAACACTGGTAGGATCTAAATCCCGAGGAGTCGAGAACTTTTTTTCTGTTTCATCAAAACTGCATCAAAAAAACTACTTGGAGGCTAAAAGGGGGGAAGGATACTAGATCATATGAAGTGTGGACAATGTGGATACATGAATCGTTTGACAAAAATTAGATCAGTAAATTAACACTCACTTCCTCTCCCTCCCCTGCAAAGAAAACCTCTGTTGTGTCTCGATGCCCTTTGGAGCGTGATCTAATTTAGACATCCCCGAGCAATGAAAAGAGAGTTGGTTTGGAGGTATATGTGTAGGCCTGCATGAAAGCACAACCTACACCCAACTCAAACCTTGTTATGATGTAGGGTGATTTGGCTCCACAACACCAGTGGGTAGAGCAGAACGTTCAACCAAACTATTCATTCAGATAACTTGGCCAAATTCCGCAAAATTAAAGACGAATAACATTTTCCCTTTACACCATGAAACCATCTGGGTTGGCTCCTCTGCTGTTGGTGATCTAACGGCACAGTTTGCTGTTAAGAGCAACAGTACCGATTTGACCAAAATACACTGTCCAGCAAACAAACTCGCAACGACGTCGTCCAACTCGAAAACTTTTGAACATACAATGACATCGTTGCCCACCCTGTAACCGTTAAAACTCAAGATTTTGCCAAACCACAATCGTCTCCTTCTCCGGCCCGGCTAAACAACAACTCTTCACTAATTTGTCTCCCTCACTGCATCGAAAGTCACTGGTTGTCGTCTTCCTCGTCAAACCTGATGATTATTCAACCACGGTGCTGCGATCGGTATGAAAGTTTTTCTCCAAATCAGCCGAAATCACAAAAGCCCTAACATCAAGAATCGGCTGCAAGTTCTTATCAAAATTGTACCAATGATAATCACAAAATTATATCAAGATTCTAATAGGCAATTAAGAAAGAATCAGAACTTTGTGAACCAAGAAATCTGAAATTTTAAAAAAATCTGAAACAACATCAAGATTATCTGAGATTGTGAATTCACAGTACAGAGAGATAGAGAGGGAGCAATTGGAACTTGGTATTTCAGTTAGTAATTACAAACTTTGTGCAGTTGAGTTCATTGTGGTTTGGGCGGGAGTTATTTACGCTGATGGAGGGACTGTTCATGTTGCTTAGGGAAGACATGGTGAGCAATGTTGATGGAGGGACTGTGCATGTCGCTTAAGGAAGACATGGTGGGCAACCGACGTCGTTGTGGGTTCGAAGGTTTCAAGTTGACTGAAGCCATTGCAGGTTTGTTTGTTGGACAGTGTATTATGGCCAAAACAGAACCATTGCTCTCAACAGCAAACTTTGTTGTTAGACTGCCAACAGCAGAGGAACCTTCTTTGGAACGTTCTTATGCCTTACATTGGTAAATCAGTCGGATATATAATAATTTGACCAATAAAGAACAAAAGAAGATAGAAGTTTGATAGAGTACTGAAAGGCTTTCAATGATGGCAATTATAGTCAGAAGTTCAGACTCAAAACTTGCTCGACAAGATAGTATCAGTTCGATATTGCAAGCATAAGGTGCTGAAAGTTTGAGCTTGACTCCAGAGCAATGAAAACATGGCATTGGCAAAATTACCTGCGGTCGCTATTGGCTACACTATCACAAGACGACATCTGAATGTAAGCTACTATCGTAGTGTATAAATGTCCCTTGTCTTACGCATCAGTTGATAATTGTACAAGTTGTTTTAGAAGCACAAACAATTCTAAAAAGACCACATATTCTGTAAGACATTGAAGAGGAGACATGGAAGTATGACAAGAATCATCTCGGAAGGTAATGACAGGAATAATCATTACTATAATATTTTTGGTATATTAAAATGCCTATACAACATAGGTGATTGTCGACTATTAGGATTTATATGCTAAAAATTTTGTCACATATCCATTTCATGTACTATACATCTTTAGAAATTTTAACATAGATTTTCTCACCGTTTCTGCATCCTAATATTTTATGAATTTTTCACGTCAGCATATCCTTGTCTGTCCTTATTAGATGTGCACCTTTAGCATGTCTCGTCCAAGCACAGTCACACTAATTAGAATATGGTCATTACAATTATTTAGATCCACTACCACCTTTATTGAAAGGTTTGCGAGAAACAATTTAGGATTTTTGAAATGCAGGAATTTTGCGTTTAGACTCTCACTAATAGTTCTTGTTGCCACTCACCCACAAACCTTTTTCGAATTCTAGCTATTAAGATTTCACTTTTATAATTACTTATTCGTTGACAAAATAACCCACGGGAAGAACTGATTTGCGGATGAGGAGTTAACATACCAACTTGCTTTCATCCTTTCCATTCGTATTGTAGTCCAAGGGCAACCCCTTTTTTAAGAAAGTGTTGCAATAGATGACAATTTCGAAATTAGTTCACTTACTTAAAATTTAATAGTATGAAAATATATTCATTTCTTTTGCATTGACACAATCTATGATACTATCGGAGTGAAAGAGTGGATCTAAAGAAAAACGGAGGCTAGACGCTTACCTCTCCAAATATTTTGGAGATAAACACCACTCATAAGGTCCAAGACAACCCAAAAAGCACTTCGATCATATCAAGATCAACTTTGCCCTTTGCCCATTATGAATGTTTTCGAATTGCAAGAATAATTGTCAATCTTATCAGACTATAGAATTGAAAAGACACCATAATGGGAACCATAAAAACTATTTTTCTCAATTCTTATTGCAGAACCAGTATTTTTTGCCTCCCTGTATACATCTAAAATTAACTGCTATATAACACATGAACAGAAAGAAACAAGAGCAGGCTAAAAAAAGAACATTGCTGTACCTGAGCAGCCGCCATCACTACACCACAAAACAGCCATTAAACTGATCACTAATTCCCTCAGCTCTTCAATTTCGCCTTCCCATTTTCAACCTTTTGAGCAAAGAGCTTCGTTGCAATCATATTATCATCAAAATACTGCGCATATGGGTGCCCTTTCGGAACAAGCCTCTGATACTTCTCGAAATTCTTCTCAGCCTCATTTTTCTTCCTCAACAATGTGTATATTATCCCTTGACACAAATAGGGTCTGAAATCCCTCGGCTCCTCCTTCACAAGCTCCTGATAAATCTTCAGAGCATCCTTATAGTCCCCTTCAATCACTCGAATTTGCGCTAGTAAAAGCTTTAAATCCCTCATTTCATCCTTCTTGTTCTCTTTCTTACACATCTGTATTGCCTCCTCAATCCTCCTCTCTATATCCTTCAATTCACTCGTTGAATCCCCCTGTGAAGCTGCCAATACCAAACCATGGTAAGCCTCAACACGAAAAGGGTCGTTTTCGAGTATTTCGTTGAACCCAATTTTGGCCAATTCAATCTCTCCACCGTAACAGTGCATGTGTGCCCTCAACAATGGCCATTCAATGTCATTGGGCTCAAGTTCAATCAACCTCTCGATAATGTTTATGGCTTCGAGGATTTGTTGATTTTTTATACGAATTTCCATCAGGGTTCGAAGACCTTCAACATCATTTGGGTGAGACTGCAAGTGTTCTTCAAGGGATTTCTCTTTCTCTTTTTCACTGTTTTCGTCCACAACGGTTTCGTTCTTAGTGCTTTCGACGGTGGGCGGGGGTGATATCGGTGCGGCAATGACGGGTTTGAGGTTGAATTTGGAGAAGAAGAGAGCGGCAGCGGTGACGGCGACGGCGGCTATGAGGGTAGTTCTGTGGAGAGAGAATGGCAAGGAGTTTAGGGTTTCAAAGAGTAGGGATTGGAAGGTTTTAGGGTTTCGAAGATGAGGGTTAGAGTATGGTAATGATGAGGAAGACGAGGAGGCTTTGATTGATATGTGTGAGGCTGATGATTTTAGTGTCGGTAATAATAGCGGTGGAGAGCGGTTTCTGAAGGAGAGAGAAGAAACGGGCCTTGAAAAAGATGGACGCTGAAGATGAATTGAGGGAAGAAGTTGTTGCTGACGATAGTTCACTTTAGCAATAGATTCCATGGAGTTCGTGGCGTTAGGGTTTAAGCTTCTGCGCAGAGAGAGAGAGAGAGAGGGGTCTAAAACCCGGTTGCCGAGTGCTAATAGATTTTTCCAGAGAGATCGAGAGCGAAAAGGGAGAAAGGGGGGGGGGGGGTGTTGGTTCATAATTTAGAGCATCTGTTGATTAAACTAATCAAAAGATATTTTGATATTATAATACCTACTTTAACCGACTGTTTTTTTAAATTTATTCTAATAATACTATTTATTTTAACTAATCACTTCAATTAACTTTAACTAATTTTTAATAATAAAATTTAAAAATATCAATTCAACTATATATTGTATAATTTAATTAATTATAAGTTACAAGAATAAATATCATAAAATATTTAAAAAAATTTGCTGCATTTTTGGGCAGTGTTGCTTGAAATTTGAAGATAAAACCTCTTAGATCAAACGACGAAGCCTCTTAGAACAAACCCATCAACCCAAAAAAATTGCAGGCCCAATTCAATGCTAAATCACCAAAACCTACATGCATCAATCATTCAACCTCAAAATTACACCTTTTTTGCAATTACACAAAAAGATGACATTGAGAGAATTTCTGAGGCATACCAGTAAAATCATGCAAGAATCACAATGAACAGAGGCTCACTTTTCCTGCTTCGTGTTCACTTTCTTTGTCTTCGACTTCGTTTTCACGAAGCATTCAGCAGAAGGCAGATTAGCCTAGCGCTTTCCTCCAACGATAGACGCAGCGAGGACCACTTTTCATCTATGCGGCTGCTGCTGCTACTTCTCTCCCGATTAAGACTTTAGGGGCGTTGTTAGCACAAAAAATAGAATAGCGAACTTTTTTGTCCTAGTCAGAGGGAGTAGCCAACCAAATGATGGTAATGGGGAAATAACTAGTGTGATAATTAGTCCATTGGAAACAATATTTAACGATTGTCTATATAAAATAGCTAAGAAAAGTGTTTTAAGAAGAGTGTTTTATCGAGGCCCTTAGAGTTGCTCTTAGAGGTAGGAAATGGACGATTGGGTTGGGTATGAGTTGGAAATGAATTGGGTGTAAGATAAATTTAATTCATTTTCGATCTGAGTTATAAAAGTATCTCTAATAGTAAAAATTATTTTTTTTTAACTTACCTTTTTTTTTTGGGGAAAGAGGAGGAAGACTTGAACTTTTTATCTCAAGAAGACAAAATCTTTATATGACAAGGAGTACCATTAGACAAAAAGTTCATTGGTGAACAAAAAAAATTAATTAATTTAGCTATTCAAAAAGTAATATTTTTTATTTACCTACTCATTTTTTCAATACACATTCAACAATTTTTTTATATTTTTAAATTATTTCTTTAAATATTATTTCTCAATTTTTTTGTATTTTTTTTAAGAATAGTGAAATGGAGAAAGAGAAAAATTGAAGAAAAAAAAAGGAGAGATAAAATATTTGCACATGTTACAGCAGTGATACTCTCTAAATATAGAGTACCGCTCTAGCAAAATGCTATTTTAAATGCTTTAGAGATGTTTTGTTGGAGTGGAGTTTTAGGGTGAAGAAGCTAAATTTTAAAGTTTTTTGTATACATTAGATTTTCTATTGGAAATGCTCTAATAGGTTAGATTATAATAGTTGAGTTAAATCCATTAAACAGTAAAATTATTAAAATTATTAAAATTATACATACTAATACTTTAAATAAAAAATGTTAATACACAAATAAGTACGCCAAAACACACTAATATACTAAAAATGTACATACTATTACATCAAAATATACACACTAATACACAAAAATATACCCCACATACTAACACACAAAAATACATACACATTTAATAAAATATACACACACAGAGGGTCGGGGCAGGGGTCGAGGGTGGGTTAGGGGTCAGGTCATAGTCATTGTTCGGGTGTATTAATGTGTGTGTTTTTGTGTACAAGTATGTGTGTGCATGTATTTTGGTGTATAATATGTGTGTATATTTTTTAGTATATTAGTAAGCGTGTTTATTTTTTGGTATATTAGTATGTGTATTTAATTTTATTACTTTTATTATATAATAGAAAGATAATTACTTAACTCAATGAATACTCATTTGTAATCTATCTTAACCCGTTCAATTAAAATGAGTTATATTAGTCAACTTATTTAGAATTTCATATTAATTAACTAGCAATTGTCCATATCTGAAGGTACTAAATATCAAAAAATAACAAATAATTGTCTATACCTAAAGAAATTGTATAACACAAAACAACGTCTATCAACTTTTCTCAAAAAATATGACGAATAATATCAACCAGTTTACAAAGTTACATTACCCAAGCCTTCATTTTTTCAAATGATGAATAAAATGCTAAAAATATCACCCAAAAATTCTATAAATCAAATAGGCAAAACTCTCATTAAAAAACACATATTAAAAAAAATTTAAAGAGTAGTATTAACCAAATAAATATATCTCAATCCATACCTTGAACTGAATTTGCTCTTGCAATTGAAGTAAAATCAAGCCAAATCCAGAAAATGACACATGGAATCCAGTAGACCAATCTCATTGATTTAGCATTTCAATCAAAAAAATCACAGGCAATAAACAAATAAAATTAGAAGGTATTGTGTAACAAAAAAGTATGGCCATAGGCCCATATATCAAATCAGCAAATCTCTCATTAAAACTGCAAACTAAAAAAAATAGCATTAATCAGATTAATATATAACAATCTACACCCTTGAATTGATTTTTCCCTTGCAACATAATTTTCTTTCTCTTCCTTTCCTAACAACCTTAGAGAAAAATTAGATATCATCTCCTAATGCATTGTTGCATAACTTGCATCGGATATATACCACTATCACATAACGGTATAGGCAAATCACTATGTTCACTGACACTTTAAAGCAAAGCAAGCAAACTAAAATTTGTTTATTGTAATCAAATTCATGAATTATGTCATATTTAAATTGTTTGTTATTTTCTGATACATGTTGCCTCGTCGTGAATTAAACACCACAGTAAATTGTAGTTAAAAGAAATGCTTGCAAAGACACACCCAAGTATAAAGTTTTGGAGTTCACCATGATAATTTTTTTATCATAATTTCTCCACACCGCTCTAGAAGACAAAGGCCTTTGAAGTGGGTGCTTTCAAATCAACCAATTTGACTATAATTACAACCATTAGTCCTATTAAATTTGGAACTCAATTGCAAGTGATTTTCTAATCCAAATATCATGACAACTTACTGGACAATTGATAATGGGAATCTTTGAATTTGGCACCTCTTTGTAAAAATCTTCCTTTGTCTTCACATGATTGCAATTTGTAGAAATATACTCAAACTTCAGACCCAACCTATTGTGAAAAAAATAGAAACTACAAACCTTAGTATTAAGCATTTCAAATGATGAGCCCCGCTTTAGACCAAGTCTGGGCCCAATTCTTAGGTCAAATCCAAATCATCAAAAGACAGGTCAACGTTAGCTCATAGATTCGGCCTGATCCAATGTTCAAGGGATCTAGGAAGATTAGCACACATGAAAAATAATTATTGAGATAGTCACTCTCTTAAATCAAGACTATCTTTAATTGTATATACCATAGTTGCAGCTATCTTCCCCATACACCTAGTAATCTACCCATCACACCACTACCTCAACCAAGACTCGATGCTTATAAATTATAAGTCCTCTACACATGATGGAGGCACATCTCTCTTACAACTATATCTAACACATCTCACCTTGAGAGGCTCTTGCTCTCTCTCTCATCTATTACTTTATCAATAAATTTCTCCGTCCACCGTCATCTTCTTTAAAGTAGAATATGTCACCTTGATCGAATTACTCTACATCTGTGTTGCATGTGTTGATTTCACATTTAAATTTATTGTATTTAGTACTCCTATTAATTACAAGATAGGTGGTACATAAATTCACTTTTGTGCATTATCGTAAATTAAAAAAAAAAAAAAAAGGTAGCGAAGAACACTTCTGACATTGAAACAAAACCAATAATGCTCGTCAGTACTATACAGTATGTATTGATTTTTCTCGGATACGATGAGTATACAGAACGTAACACCCATGATTGATATTCGACAAAGCAACACTATACACAAACCTGGAAAAATTTAAATCTTAAACGAATGATGATTTTTATTCCTAGAATGGTATAATTCAACAATTGGAAACAACATATTTTACCCAATTTATAGAACTCAAAGTAGTGAACATCCGAAAAAAAAACCGCCATTTGAAATGGTCACTCGCCCCAATAGCTTGCTAAACTCCTTATTGTTCATCATAGCGATCTAAATTTATCTCCGAATCATCCTTTTATTCTTGTTGTCCGTTGCAGCATTCTCAGCAAGTTCCAAGCTCTTAAAACCCAAACTAATTAGACAAATTTTTTTGGGTTGTTTGTGGTGGCGTGACTCTGTGTGTGTGTAGGGGGAGGGGTGTTCTGTGAAGAGTGTTTATATGTGGCGTGACTATTAGAGATAGACAGAGAAAGAGGCATGTGGGGAGGGTCAGTGGGATGGGTTCTGCGAGCTGACTGGGGGGGGGGGGGGGGTTCTGTGAAATAGGTGTGTTTGGAGAGAGAGAGGGGCGTGCTGTGAGATGGGTCTGTGAGCTAGGTGTGTTTGGGACACTATAGAGAGAGAGGTAGAGGTAGAATGGAACTCTAGTGTTTGTGTGTGGAGTGACTGTGTGTGTGGGGGGGGGGGGGGGTCCGTGAAGAGTGTTTGTGTGTGGCGTGACTGTGAGAGATGGACAGAGAGAGAGACGTGTGAGTTGAGTGTGTTTGTGTGTGACGTGACTGTGTGTGGGAGGGGAGGGGTTTTTTTGAGATGGGATCTGTGAGCTGGGGGGAGGGATTCTGTGAGATGGGTGTGTTTGTAGAGAGAGACGTGCCGTGAGATGAGTCTCTGAGTTGGGTGTGGGACACTAGAGAGAGAAGAGAGACGAGACTCTAGTTTTTCTAGAGTTGGAAGTGGAATGAAATTTAGGATGCGTTTCTTGCCCTAAATTTAGTACTTAATTGCACTCAGTATTTATTAATTTAGCA